TTGTGGAGTAGTTAAGAACATAACACTTGTACAGAAAGGTTTTCGTGGATTATTAAATGTGAACAAATTAAAATACAGTAGAGTCTCAAAAACTCTGCACTCAACAACCCGGCAGTCTGGAAAACTCGGCCACACCCTGGCAGGGCAAAAAAATCCTTAATTAATTTTCATTATAGACAGCTTTATGCCTCAAAGTATTTTTCTGAGGTCTGTCTTATCAGGTAAATTACTGTACACAGTGTATTCATTAATTTTCATTTTCATGTAGTAAAGGCTCTATGCCTTCATAAAGGACGTACTTTTCCTTTGTTTAAGGGTATTTGGGCAGTTTATTCTCTGCTGTATTCTCAAGTAAACAATACATACAAGTACAGTATTTTCTGAGGAAACACTCATACTTATTTTTTTTAACCCCATTCCTGATAACCTGGCATTTTCACAAACTTGGCCACCCTTCGGTCCACATTAGGCTGAGTTTGAGACACTACTGTACAAACAAGATAAAACAAACATATAATGTATCTTGATGATGGTGCTTAGATTATCTTGACAATGTTAGATAAATAATTTTTGCTGGTAAAGGTTTGAGAATATTTAATTAAAGCAGTCATAATCAGTTTATGTGACACATTATTTTAACCTTTGTTATGAAACATTAAATAGTATATTGAACAAAAAAATAAGAAATAAACAGGATATTTTAAAATTTGAATTTAAAACTTTATTTACTTTCTATTAATGCAAGATATATAATTAAATTTTATATTAATACATTAAGTACAAAAAATTCTCACAAATCAACATTTATTCAAAATGGTATCTGAACATTTATGATCAATGCTTTGAAAAAAATTAAACATTTACAAGCTCCATGATATTCATAAGACATCTTTCACAGTGCAAAAATTATTATATATAAACATGAAGTACAAAAGTTAAAAAATATTTTATTGTAAAAAAAAATTATTTCAGATTTTCTGTAGCTTTTATGATAAAAACAACTCCTTTTCTAATTTAAGGACTGACTAATTTTGTGTACAAATAATACTTCAGAACATGTACAATTTGACCTATTTACACAAATCAGTTGTTATAAACACAATCTTAAGTTAAACTTAAAAATGTAACCATCATCAAAATCTTGCATGACTTATTTGCAACCCGATATTTTTATTAAAAATAAACACTTGTATCAGCTAGATTATTTCATTATTAATTATAACTTCTTGAAAAGACTACACAGGATGATTAAAAATAATAAATTCAATTATTATTGTCAACTGAGTAAGATATATACCAACTATTTTCTTTTTCCACATAAATGGTCATAACAGTTAGTTTAAATCAGCTCTCAATAAGATGGTAGTTTGTATCAAATTATTTAATATATTTAAACAGCAAATTATAATGAATTATTTCAATATACCACACAAGTAATTAGATATGGTTTAAGCTTATTTAAAACAGTGTGTTTCAAGTATATAGTAGCAATAAAGATTATGTAAAATTCCAATTTGAAGTAATATTTTGTAGTTATTCCATTCTATCTTGTTAAAAGTACTTATTTAAATTTTTGAGACAGTAAGTGATTAAACAAAACAATATAGACAAACTGAATTTATGGCAATCTTATAATTTGAAAAAATTAATTATATAAATTTAAATAACTTTTTTAAATATTTAAACTTTTTAAAAAAATATTTAGTAATTTTTAAATTAATTAATTTTTTTCTGCTATATACTTATACTATATGTTTAAGAGGAAAAAATACTCATGCTTTGTGGTATGTATTTATCTATACATTTATATACTTGTAGTAATATATACAAGTATGTTATGTCAGTTATATATTACAGAAATTACATCAGTGTATGTGCAGATGTTTAATTTTTGAAAGGTCAAAACAATTCCTCAATCTCCCCCCTTTCTTGCTCATTAACTAACAAAGAGGAGTCAAAAAGAGGAGTCAATTTCCACATGTTTATTATATATATACACAGTGCATATACAGATCTATTGATGTAATGATGAAATAATATGGGGAAAAAACTTTTGATTTGAAACAATCTAAACCAGACGAAACTGTTCAATGCAAGTACTTAAGATTTTTCTTGCATACACACTCATTGCACAGGATACAACAAGCACAAATATTACACACCATTTAACACACATTTCCACATTGAACACACAAAAAAACCAAGCAGACTATAAATTTTCTCCAGTTAAATTGATGCATGGTACAGAAGTCGACAACATTTTCCCTAAACACCACTCGTGCGATTACTCCAAATCCTATTTTAAACACATTTATAACAATATTTCATGTCATTACTTTTTAAATTTTAGGAAAAAGAATTAAAAATTTAAGTTAGGAAAATTCCCAAAATTTTACAATAAAAAAAAATTAATAATATAGAATTAATTAATTCTTTAAGCGTAATATTTTAATTTTAACCCAATTTGTGTGTTAGCAATCCAAAATTTCTTTTAAAAAATAAAATAAAAAATAAATGATCTAATTACGCAACCATTTTTAAATGCCTCGTTATTTACACTTTCGTCGTAACAAGATAATTTTTAAAATTATTATCTATAATTTCCCAAAAATCTAATTATAAAAAACATTCTTAATCCCTAAAATTCTTCTTACTTTAAGAAAAATTTTTTTAATAAATTCATAGACATCGATCGAAACGGATTTTAAAAACGTAACCAAACGATAGTTTTAAATCAACATTTAAAAAAATGGCGCTAGACGCAACAATTTTATATCCAAAACAAATATTACGAATTCCAATCGTCCATAAACTTTTCTTATCCCTATTTATAAATTTTTATTTTTTTATTTTCCTTTTATTTACCTGTCCGAGCTGGCCGAACTCGGTGGATCAAAACAGAAACGATCCGCCATTGCCTACCAGCACCGCCTGGCGGGTTACAATTAATTAATTGTCTTTTTTTAAATAATTAATTAATTAATTTTCTTTTGATTGAAATTTCTCTTAGATTATTTATTCCGATAAGATTTATTATAATTTCTAGCCCGGAGGTAAACTTTAGCTAGGTCAAGGATGCGAGAAACACCAGTTTTTCGAGTTCCATTCTTCCCGAAATGAATATATATCACCGAATCGCATCGGCGTTACGAGTTTGTTTACATTGTAATTTTGCTAAATAGAAAAAAATTATTCGAAAATTATTAAATTTTTATGATGTATTATCATTCTTTGACTTAAATAAGATATTTTTCCTTAAAAAAAAAAGAATTCATATCTCAACAATGAGTCAGCTTATATTTTACAACATTACATTGCGAAACTAGGTGAAATATTCTCTTACTTTAAAACTCAATCACAAAACAACGCATTAAAGTACTGAAAATGATAAATTTTTTTAGAATTTCCAGCATTTTTTTCATTTAAAATGCTGACTTTATCAAAAGAAAAAAAAACATTCAATTAATTTCCAAAAACTCAATGAAAATTAAAATGATTTAATATTAAAATAATAAAATACTGAAAAAATAAATTTTTAATTATTTTAAATCAGTGGATAACTCCAAAAACTTGATATTTTTTGGATAAAATTTTTGAAAAAAATCAATTACAAAAGAAATCAAAATCACTGTTTGATTTTTTTTCCAAAAATTCCAAAATATAATAATTGAGTTTAATAGTTTCTTAGAAAATAGCGAATTGTTGCATAAAACAATTAAAAAATAATAAGATTTTTAAATCTATTTTAAGATTATTTCAGGTAAAAATGATATTCCAGAATAGAAAAAAATAAGTAATTTATCTGAATCAAAATATTTTATAGATGATTAAATTAATTTTTTAAATTAATTTAAAAAACAATTATAATTATTATTCATGCTAATACCTTCAAACAGGATACAAACAAAAACAAACAGTTTAATACAACGAAATGTTTCAAGTACTAATTATTTGTTTAACCATTGTAATTCTATAGCATTATTCATCTTTCTTATTTATTTTATAATACATTAAAGCATATACATATATACAGATTAAATTATCAAAATATTGTTAGATATGAAAGTCAGATGATTCAAATTTGAATCTATAAATTTATTTTTAAAAAACTTTTTGAATTCTGTTCAAATTCATAAGTAGTCTTTGACAATATATAAATATAAAACTGAATAATCTAATTATTTAAAAGCAGCTTCTATCAAATTTGCATGCTTAATATTAATCTACAGCAAGATTTACGTTTAAAATTTATTACCAATTAATGCTTTTAAGTACAACAATTTATCATTTAAAATACTTTAATGATGATTAAAGTTCATATAATGGACTTTTAGTATATTTTAAATTATTTACACTCACCATTTTTTAAGGGAAACTCAATTCTTAACTCATACGCAACTATTTAACGTAAAAAAAGAAATGTATAGCAAAGGCAATTTACAATCTCCCACGTAGCATGCGTGGTTTATCATTAGTTTTAACATCATTAAAACTAATTATTTATATTTAACGCTTTGTATACATATAACGAATATGGAAACTATTGGCATGGAAAAAATATTTTTTAAAAATAATTATTAACCGAAAATATGTCAACGGTCACATCAGACATATTTTAACATTAAAATGAAGGAAAGAAACTGTTAACTCACCTATTTTATTATTAAGATTTTCCAACTTTTAACGTGTGTAAAATATGGCGTTAAGTTATTGAATATATACGAATTTATCTCATTTAAAAGACAATAGAACTGTTAAAATATTCTTGTTTCCTTATTAAACTTCAATGAATAGAAAGAAACCATTAAAACATTTTTCTTTCCTCCCTAAATCTAAATACTGTAATCCAACGTTGTTCGTATGTCAAGGTCATAAATATTATTATTATATTGTGTATTTGGGAGTAATATATAAAAATGAATTAAAAATCAACTGAATTATGTTAAATGATATCACTTTTTACTCTTTTCGGTTAAAATTTGAATTTTACATTGTCATACCTTTCTCCATGTGCAACTGTCCTGCACTTATTGTTTGTTGTCGACTCTTCCTCGCTCTGAACGATGGGTGGCATGTTAATTGTATTTATAACAACATAACGACTTTGTTATAGAATGTTTATGTTTTTACTGTTGTCGTAGCAACACATTCCGATTTTCTCTTTATTTATTTATTTATTCATTATTATTTTTTTAACACTAATCTACCTTGACACGTGACGAAGAAAGCGTGCACATTCCTTTCAAAATATTTATAGCGTCATCTAGTGATTAAAGTCGCTAACAACTAACAAAAATTAAATTATTATTTTTTAAATTTTAAACGTTTTGAATTATCTCGAACATAATTTAATTTTTAGTTTATTAATTAAATTAATAATTTTATATA